TGGCCACTTCACTACTCATTAATCATTACTCGCTACTCTTCGTTTTGCGCTGGGCCTAGCTAGGCCCTGGGCACTGGGCAATGCGGCATGCGCCCCCTCCTCCCGTGGCCGCCCTGGCCGTGGGTCCGTTGGTCTAAATTCACCTGGCTTCAGGGTTACAGCGTGGGCGGGCAGGGGGTGCATCGTTCGGATTGCGTCAGCGAAGATATCAACCAGCAAGCACCGAACGCATCGAAATAGGGAGTAACGTAGGTATGTGTAGCAGAACAAAGGGGAGCTGATGAGGAGTCGTGGGAAGTGGAGAGATGAATGGGCGAATGGGGGGACGCCGGGAACGCTGTCCTTGAACATAGAGGCGACTCCATCGACCACAGCCTCCCCGCCAAGATCTTGGCGGACGAGGAACATCCAGTACCTATCGGATCTTTTGTTCACATACCACTCCAAAAAAAACTGCTGTACTAATTACTTACTAACCGTTACTAATCTAATCAATATTATCTTTGCTTTTCTCCACCGCCGTCTTTGCCCCTCTCCCTGTCCTCTCCTCTCCTGAATCATAAATTTCCCCAGGTTTGCCGCCGTGTGCCATATCCCCCCACTCATTCTCAAATCTCGTGGCTGCCCTTTCGTTCACTATTTCTCATCGTCCGCATCCGTTTTCTCCATTACATTATTTAATACTCCTTACACATCATCTCATATGCTTCTTCTCCTCCTCCTTTTGCTTGTTTGATCGTTTGATCCCCCCTGCTTGAAACCGCTGCTTTGCTGGGCATTGATGGGGGCGGGAATGTTTGAATGGCCGACCTGGTGCGGTCGACGTCCAAGAACATGCAACCGGACACCTTGAGAACTCTGACACTGTACAGGCCCTGCAGTTCGAGACGTTGCAGTAGCAGACTCAAGGCTGAATCGGAGCTGCCCGTCTCGATCGGTAGGCCAAAACCAAGGACCTGTTCAAATACACAACATCTAGGACGCTTCTCGCTCAAGTAATCCAAGAAGTCTGAGTACAAGATAAACTTCGAATGCGTGGTAACAGACCCGTCACGGAACCGCTTCTCCCTTTGAAGTGAAACAGGCTGGCAAGGGAGGCCAATCACTGCCAAATCCACTTCTGTCGTATCGGCTGAATTGTACTCATCGCCATGAATCCAACAATCTCCAACTCCCCACGTGATAGAACGGAAATCTTTGAAGAAACAATCAGGCTTTTTCATGTGATAGCCCTCAACGAGTTGATGTTGCACGTAATTGAACGAGATCTCTTTTGGATCTGAGGCGGCCTTGACCTCATACTTCAGGGCCATCGCCTCGCACGCAACAATTTCAGGACAAGTGCCAGAGCAAATAGAATGAATCGTGAGAGGGCGATTCTGCAACCCCAACTCGGCGCGGTAGTCGTTGCACGCGGCGTGAAGGAAATCAGCCCGCCATTCGACGCTGGCGAGGTCCACCGGAGTTGTTCTTGCTGCTGGAGTCTCAACACCAAAGTGATGATGAGGTTCAGCAGGCGAGGGCGGTACGTGGCCGATGACGTCGACGCGGTCGCCGTCGTCCTGGAGCTCTGGCTCTGGAAGATCGTCAGGAGAATCAGTTGGGTTTGAAAGAAACGAGGCGCCCGCCTCTGTCGTTGGACATCACGGCGCGCGGTACATGGCAAGCACGCGAACCCATGACAAGATGCTTAGGGCCTAAGAGGACCTCAATGGCGCACCAAGGTGGCCCCGACTGGCCCCCAAGACGTCCTCAGCTGGGCGACGCAAAGCGCAAAGCGCAGGAGCACCACAGGACAACCCGAGAGGACTCGAGAGACGAGAGACCCCAGAGAGGTTCAGAGAGAGAGAGGCTTCAAGAAGACCCCCAAGAATTGTGGAACAATTGGCCTGGAACGACATATCACCGTACATCGTGCATGCCCCGGACGTGCACTCCGCGAAGCGAGAGGAATCAAACTCCCAAGTCGACGAGGGCTCCATCTGGCACGATGCAGCACCAGTGGAAGTATACGTGTATCAGAGCCAACCGCTGGGACACTGGAAAATCCAACGCTGATGGGCTTGAGTCTAAAGTCTGACGTCAAACAAACTTGGAGGAAAGGCTGTGCTGTGTTGGGACGGGCCGTTATGATGTTTCGGAACAATTATATATCGTGGGTCTGTAGTTGCCACCACGAAGTGCTAAGTTCACTTCGGCCCCCCCCTGGGTGCAGGCAGCCAGAGAGACGAGCAGTGACAGGCGGGGTGGGGATTGAGGCGAGGATAAACGGGGATCGGGGACGTGAATGAACTATGAAGGGTGGGCCGCCTGGCGCACGTAGCTTAAGTAGCACACTGGCCCTCAAACAAGCACGATCTTCACGCGTGTGATTCCAGGGGCCGCAGACCATTGAGCAAAACTACAAGCCAACGGCCATTGAGCTCCAGCTAAAGGCCAAACGATAAACATATTTCAGATACAGCTTAGGGCGGGCATGGCGGCGCCCCGAAAAAATGCTCTTTGTTGGGAACTGGGAACGGGGATCTCCCCATCCTCCTCCTCCTCCTCCTCGCCCTCATGTTTGCTCGTACTGAGCCTATCATGTTTTCTTCCTCCTTCACCACCATGGTCACATTATTGGTGTTCTACGCTTCTCCCTTCCCCCTACCCCCTACTATGCCGTACTCTTCTCTCCCTCCCCTCACGCCTGTTCCTGCATATCCCTCCTCACTCTTCCCTCCCCGCCTAACTGATCTATGCCTCCATCTCCACCGCCCCCACCTCTCTCTCTCTCGCAATCTAGACTGTATAGTATAGCTCTCAGTCTACATTGTACATATTTACGATGTTACCTGCTACCTAACCTATCTGGACCTATCTCTCGCTGCGACTCTGATCCCTGACCCCTCATCTTTGCTTTTCTGCCGAACCTGTGTTGCAATGTTGCTCCTGATTCTTCCTCCTCCTCGCTTGCCGCTCGCCCTATGCCCCTCACCCCATCATCCTCGTCACATTCCTCCTCTCTTCACCTCTGCCCTCTGAAATCTCGGCCTTCCTCCACCTCCTCACCGACTCTCTCCTGCATCCTCTGGTCCGCCCCTGAGCCGCTGAGCCCAGACACGCCCTCAAGCGACTCAACGGCCACGCGGAGGAGACCGCTGCCCGGAGGGAGGGGGCGACGGGTTGGGCCTGCGCGTTTACCTTCACGGCCCCACGACCCGCTCCAGGCTCCAGGACCCTTCCCCACCTCTTCTTCAACCTCGGCCTCCGATGGGGGCCTGGCAACGGGATCGAGAAGGCCGCCTGCCCGGATCGACGATCGAGCATTGAACAAGGTCCCAGGGCCCTGGTGGTTTGCTTGACCCCACCCACCAAGCGATCTAAAATCGGCAAGCGGCAAAACGGCACGCGGGGGCTAGGATGGCAGAGAATGGAGGGTGGAACGGATGACGAGAAAGTTGAGAAGGAGGAATGTGACTGCATTTAGCATTTAGCCTCGCGCGGCCTGCGCCGCAGCACACAGTACACAGTATTCAGTACTCAGTACACAGTAGGCAGTCCACAGTACACGAACCCGATCAGCGACTGACGCCAGGTTCAGGGAGCGCACCTGGAGCTGGATCTGCCTCCAACTCCAAGAAGGCATCGGCCCCATCATGCTCCACGAATTCATCTCTGGCATCTGAGCGCTTCTTGAAGGACCATACGTTGACTCCATACTTCTTGAACGCATGCTTGTGCGAAGCCTCAGTATCATACTTGTGAGCAAGCTTCAAAAACAGAGATAAGATGCCGAGTGGACGACCAGCACCCTTAATGTCATTACATGTCCTGGTCAGCGTGCATGACTTGCCATGGATCCCACACTGAGCAATTATACTGTTAGCGATGGGATCATACTTCATGTAAGGCATGACTCCGGAGTCGTCCCTGAAGCGCGGCACATTGATCCTCAAGAGAGGTGGCCCTTTCGGTCCACGGGCAACGCGCCCGCCTGCTGCTGCGGCACCCCGGTCATCATCACCATCAGAGCCGTCAGAGCCGTCCTGATCTTCATCGGGACTAAGCTCATGGGAGTCTGAGGTCGTCGAGGTCGAGGTGGAGCTGGAGCTGGAACTGCTGTTGTCGCGACTGCTGGCATCAGATCTCCCTCCACCAGCTCCTCTATAAGGGCCCTCTTCATCATCGTCGTCATCGCTCTGCTTTCCGTCGCCATCGCCTTCTTCGCGCCCCTCCTCTGGAAAAATCTCTCGTTCAAGATCCTGAACTTCCTCCGCGTTGCTCTCGGGCCTCTCGGGCTCGGGGTCAGAGGATACCTTGGCAACCTTAGGTTCTGGATCTCCGAATATATCACTATGGCTATCGTCCTCGGGGTCCTCGGAGTGATCATCGAGTCCTTCTGCAGGCTGGTCGATGAGTTCGCCCAAGTGGTCAACGACGCCATCGGATAAGTCATCACCGCCGCTGCCGTGGCCATCTGCATCACGCCCATGGCCGCCTCCAGGATCAGGAACAACTCCCTCCGCTGGCCGACGACGCTTCTTCTTCTCTTTCCCAACACCGTCATCACGACCATCATGATCATCACGAGTGGTGGATTTGGGTTTCCTTGGTCGAGGCTTGGGCGGCGGCTTCTTGCGGTCATCAGGCCCTGCCCAGATGTCTGCGGGGTCGATGGAGTCCATCCGATCGACGCGCACTACGGCAGGCCGAATCCGAGCCACATTCGCAGCATTCGTGCGAACCTTGTAGAATTCAACTCGCCACGTTCTGTCTAAGTCCATGTACGATTCAACTGGATGCCAGAGCGTCTCCCAACCAGCAATACCAGAATCATCGTCTTGCAATACGTATAGTAGAGCAGACGCAGGAGATCCCTCGTGAGGTTGAGAGGGGTCTGGGTCTGTTTGGCCGAGAGCAAGTACAGAAGGCCTGTAAGGGCTGAGATACATCATTGACACATGCAACCACATGATGAGGTTGGCGCCCTCAAGGTCGTCGGGCGGAAGGCCCGATTCCAATCGCAAAACAACGAACCCGCGCAGCAACAAGAGCTTCAGCTCCGAGGAAACGAACGCGCCCGACATGGCCTTCAGAATCTGTTTTCTGAGCCTGGCAACCGCGTACCCGTCGCCGCCGCAGATGCAACGGCCAGCTTGGAAACATACCTGCTTATCCTTCGGGACGGTAGCCTCGCGTGGCGCAAGCAACAACAGCAAACGAGCAAAATTGCCAACATGGTCGGAGGAGGTAAGGATTAAGAGGAAGTGGAGGAGTAAGAGGACAAGGGTGGGGGAGGCTTGGCAGCAGCAATCCAAAGCAAGGAGGAAGACCACGCCAATCATGATATGGCCTTCGGCCCATCCTGCCACCATGGCCGGGCCGTGGGCCTCTGTGACGTTCTTTGAGATCTATCGATCGTCTGGTCTGGAGTCCGTCGAAGGAATGTTGGATGAAATCATCTTGGGCGTCGTTTTGGGGCCTCGTGGGACCTCTGTTTGCCCTCTTTGGGAGCTGCTTGGGGGCATTTGGGGCTGCCTGGGGGCCTCATGAAAGCCTCTTGGAGCAAAAAGCTCGGAGCACCTCGGATTTTGATTCTCGGTCTTGGGGCCCTTGAGCGCCTCTTGGGTGGTCTTGGGTCCATTTGGGAATCTGGGGGGCATCGGAGGTGCCATTCTCCTCGTCCTCCTGTTTGCCTCGGCCCTCGTCCCTCGCCCTTCCTGGTGGTCCTCGTGCCTGGGTCCCCGAAAGCCCTAAAGTCCCTTAAGGCCTCAGGCCCTCCTTACCCGAATCCCTCTCAAGTCGGGCGGGGGGGTAGGGGGCTGGCGTCTGGCCCCGACGACCTTGGGCAGATCAGAATTCGAGATGCATCGATGCTTACCCTGCCAATCCGTCACCAGCTGCGATTGCAAACGGTACTGAGCAGGCGCATCAAACAGAGAACTTGCCATAGACTCGGGAACGCTGACGTCAGCCTTGGGTATCTCAGCATCTCTGACGGGCATCTGGTACAAGTCTAAGTTGTATTGCTTAGCAAACTCCATTGTCGGCGACCTCTCGTCACGAGCTTCCTGAACATATCTCGCCAGCGCAGCATCAGCCGTTCGCTCCCTCTCAATCTCGACCTGTCGGTGCAACGTGGCCTTGGTCATCTCTTGTTCCAGCATCTCCTCAAAGGTAAGCCCCGTGGGCAAAAGAACATCCTGACCTGGTTGGTGATCACTGTCGCAAACGGGCACCGACTCCAGATGACCTCGAACGGCAGTTTTGCGACGAGCGTCGCCGAAAGGTTTGACGCCGTTGAGGGCAGCTAATCTCGCCAAATGACCAAGCTCAATGAAGACGTTCATCTCCTCTGGCGTCAGCGCTCGGTACTGCTCCCCAAGCTGCCTGAATGTCGGCTTCGCGCCGGCTGGCGCTTCATGCCACCTGGTGTGAACGAATGCGCGCCATGGGCCGCCAGAATTGCCAGGTCTAGCACGACGTTTTCTGCCAACTTTCTTCTTAAGATCAACTTGTGGATTGGAGCCAGGCCGGGTCGAGTGCTGCGTCTTGGCATACCAAACACACTGTCGAGAACGTCGCTGTCGCAGCATCAAGAATTGAGACGACAAATCCTCAAACTTGATGGAGTGTGTCTGGAGAGACTTGTACTTGCAGATGCGGCGGATCGATGCGTTGCGTGCTTCTATCTTGGAAATGTCAATGCTGACCATAAACGCGACCACCTCGAGCTCAGCGAGGGCATCGTCGCTCTTCAGCTTGCTGGCAGTGTTGTAATCTGCCGTCGTGCCCTTGGGCACGGAGTGGGCGCGTCCTCGGGTCCTTTCCCCCTCCTGCGGCCCTCCGTCCCACAGACAGCCTCAGTCCTCACTGCTGAGAGCCAAAGTCTTGATGAGTCTTGAAGGGGTTCGGAGCCCCGTGGCCCCGGGGCCAAATCTTCTCGCGCGTCCTGCATCCCCCCGCGTGATTTGCGCGAGCGCCACGGGATTTCAATACTCTAGGTCTAGGGACGAGGGAAACAACCATTGAGGACCCAAGGAGAGGAATCGCTAACCGAACATCGGAATCTTCCACCCCCGATGGCCCCACGAGGCCCTCAAGAGCCCCCAAGAGGCCCAACAAACCCCAATGGGCCCTTGAGATGCCCACAGATGCCCCTTCTTCCCTATTCAGCTCCAAGAGAAGCTCAAAACGCGTCCGAATGAGCCCAACGAGTCCCCCAAGAGCCCAAGAAACCCCAAACCGAACCTACCTCGAACAGTCCCTCGAAAGGCCCGCCAAGCCAGATACCATACCTATCGAATCGACGAAGGCTTCGTCGATTCGATTGCCGATGGCATGGTATCTGCCTATCTGCCACAGCTCAGGCACGGTGGCGGGATTTGCCGAAAGGCATTCGATGTTCGACGAAGCTTGCGGAGTATGAATCCAATCGGCGAGGACACTGGGCGTCACGCAAGATCCGATCAATAAGGTCATCAAGTCTGTCTGTATCAGCGGTTAACAATTGGAACAGCAGAAACGGATAGTTCTGGTGCTGATTGAACATGAGTTCGTAGCACGCAGCACCATTACGCGCCAACAATCTGAATGCCAAGGTTGACATATCTTGCGTGGCCCCACCAGCTATGACCAGCGTGTCCCAGTAGTTACCATTGATCAGTAGCCTAGATAGTCTCTGAAGAAATTCTGCCTCGTATGTGTTGCAGGCTGCGTTGCAAATCCTATACTGCCGAATGCTAGTGCGAACACCGCTGACCTTCGCTCTGAAATGTGCCTGTCGGAAAAGCAAGCACATCACATGTCACATGCATGCCCCTGGGACACAGTGGAGCAGGATGAGAGGAGGAGGAGGAGGAGGAAGATGATGGAAAAGGAGGAGGAGGAGGAGCAAGAGGAAGGCCCATGCTCTCGGCCAGAGCGCTGCTAAAGTGCAGGGGGGTCACCACGATGTGTCCCGGATGAGGCCAATGAGGGATCTCTCGAAGCTTCCGCCCCTTAGAGATTACCATGAGGCCTTTCTACTACGGTGCCACGAACTGGACATTCAATAACACAATCAAAGATGTGAATAACCACTCCATGGGGCCGCCACCCAAAGTTCTGGGGCCAAAAGGCCCCACAACCCGACGAAACCACATGCCACGTTCCGCCAATAGGCCAAGGACCTTGCCCTGCCTGCCCCCCTGACCCTACCTCCATAGAACCCCATCCCCGCCCAGTAGCCGTGGTATCCCTTCGGGGGCCTTCAAGAGAACCTGGTAGACACTATACCCACTATCGGGCTAGGGCCTCGGCCCAATTTCTCAGCCCAGGGCTCCTGATCCTGGGCCCCAGCAGCCATGAGCTCATGAGGTTGGATAGGCAATGAGGACCTGAGCGTTTGTTCCCCGCAGGGGTTAATATAAAAAACAGGGCAACGGGCAAAGGCGAAGGGCCGTTCACGTTCACGCCACCCCTGGCCTGCCTGTCGCCACTTCTCCCCGGCTTGCTCGAGGATGGAACTCATGATAATGCGATTGGCTTCCAGACAACTGCGAACTATGAACATGATGTGCAACGGCTGATGGGAGTCCAACCACGTATTGAAACCTCTCTTGGCACACTTGTTCCTGGCCGCCCAATCCATGTCTTTGTACTCGTGGTGAGGCTGTGGCCCGTCGTCCAAAGTGACGTCCTGGTCGAGGAGAGCGAGCCTTGAGCCGTGCACTGTGATCCCGTCGTTGCCGTCGTTGAACGATTTGCCAGACCACCTTCGGAAACCATGCCCAAGGAGACCGTGTACCGCTTCCAACAGCCCGAACATGCCAAACGGTCTGTGACTGCTGACCCAATCTTTCCTTGACAAAATGTGAACCTTCCCTGGAAGAAGCGCCTTGATGAGATACTTTTTCATTTTCCAACGGGTGTGCTCGACCGATGTGCAACAACCATTGCAATAATGTTCAATACACGTGCGATTTCTCCAATCCCCATTCGCCAAATGACAGATGATGACCCGGCGCCGCAAGACAGCCTTGTAAGATTGATGTGTGGCAGGAGGCAACGACAGAAACAAATCGAGCATATGTTGTTTGAAACGTACAGCGTCGTTGTTCGGCAAATCATACACATACTGCACTTTCTCGTCGACGTGCTCTCTCATCGAACGAATGAACCCATCAAGTTGGCCATAACCAGATAAACCCACTGCGCCGCTGATCATGCCAGAACAATGGCCACTGACCAAGTCGAGCATCTTCCCGCAAACACCGTGGGCATCGTGAACATGGCATCCAACGTGCAATAAAGACCACCTGTGAGATGCTGCGAGTTCCCCCTCTTCGTCAATTAGCCTAGACCTCTCACATTTGAAATTCGCGCCGTAGTGATCCGTGGTGACAATTCTGACGCGGCGGGCGAAGTTCAGGTCGCTCAGGGCTTGCGGCACTTTGAACACTCTCGAGGTCGCCTCCTTCAAACACTCCGTAGAATTTTGATCGATGCACTGGAGCCACGCGGGCACATCTTGAATCACAACTCGTCGCCTGCCGCTGATCTGATCACGAACCATTGAAGCCAACTGAAAATCAGTTTGTAAAATCTTTGTCGCTGCAGGCCTTTCTTCGTGAAATGTACCGTCGGACACGCGGGTTGGCAAAGGAATCTCATCATAACTGGTATTGCTGATGAGCAACTCTGGATGGTCATCCGGGTACTGCGATAGCTGCGCCCCGAACCAAGACATCACATATCGTGAAATGTTCAGCGTTGCCGAAGCCAACTCCGAATAATACCGAGTGTACGTTGAGGTGCTGTCTACGGTTGCAGCGGCCATTGCTACTTTCTTGCTGGACATTGTTTTCTCCGACATCACGTTCCTGACAAAAGAGAGCCTAGAACCTTCAACACCATCGCACTGCTCATGTGGACATGGTCGTGACTGTGAATGTCTGGCCCTCAACGCTTGATTCACTGAAGTGAGGAGCTGCTGTTGCAACGGCGTGCCAACGCCTATCAAACTCCCCATAATACCAACTCCGATCTGCTGCAACGAAGGCCTCTCTGCGCGCACGGCCCGAGCTTCCCGGGCTAGCGCCATCCGCTGCCCTGCGTCAAGGACCTGCGGCTGTTGTTGCACCTGCTGCTGAAGCTGCTGCTGATCACGAAGGTACGCTCGAACCTCTTTGGATCCATATGTGCCAGGCGGCCGTCCTCGTTTTCGTCTCTGTGGTGGGGCTGGCTGAACTGTCTCTTCGCAGTCGTGGCCGCCTGGGAGACGTGCTGCTGGCTGAACTGCTGATGGCTCTTCCACTTCATCAAGAAATGCAAGGTCGTGATCCCAGGAATCTGAAACAACACCAGTTTGGCGGCCATCCGATACACACTGCTGCTCTCCGTCACTACTAAGAAACTCAAGGCCGTCCTCCCACATCATACGTCATTGGTCATTCTTTCTTAGAATTCAAGGTCAAGGGCGGCGGCGAAAGAATGGTACGTTTGCGAGGTGCGAGGACCTTGCCGCTTGCCGCAGCCGCATGCCTGCTTGCCAAAATGGCTGCGGGACAGGGAAGCGGGGGGGGTCAGGACTCGGAGGAACGATACAGATGGAGCAGGTTATTGGACTGCACTTTCCACTCACCCGCAATGGCCAAACTACAAAACGCAACAACGCAACGCAACGCAATGCTCGCTGCTCGCATTATGATACAAGGGCCATGTGGTGCAAACTATGTGGTAGTCCCCAGTGAGCCTGACTAGTCGACTAGTCCCTCCCCTTCCCCTGATCCCTGAACTCTCTGGCCTGCCCTCTGTAGTCAGTCCCTTTTGTTTTCGTCCATCACCACTGCTGTAATTTGTCCTTGCTACCTCCCTACACACTACAATCCTGGTGTTCCTTCACAATTCTTGTCGACTGCACAGGGATTTGTTATGTGCCGGGTTCGAGCTATGGCGATCGTGTCATCGTTTCGTTTGTTTCGTTGCATGTAAGAATATCACAGAACATGTTGCACGAAATATAGTTCAGAATTAAGACACGCCGGCCACGTTGACATGCTGACGCTACTATCTAACGGCAGAGTTATCACAACTTATAGGGCGACGCGCAATCAGAGTGCAGCAAATTGCATACCCGACCGCCAAGTCGTTTTGTCGAGTTTGGTTCTTCATTTCCCCGGGAGCATCGCCAGAGACAGCAACAACGAAGGGAGGCATTTTTGGAGCATCTGGCAAAAAAACCAAAACGAGCAGGAGCATTTTTTGAGCATCATGAGAAATAGCAGCAACAAGCAGGAGCATTTTAGGAGCATTGTCAAAAAACGCACAAAATGAAGGGAGCATTTTTGGAGCATCGCTATCCGAAAAGCACAGAGCATTTCAGGAGCAAAAAAAAAGATTTCGTAGTTTCCTATGAACTGGCCAACGTGGAGTTCTTAACCCATGCAGTCGCCCATATTTTCGGGGTTTTCGTCCTCCCCCCCCCCTTCTGATAGCTTCCCATACTCTCCTAGGAGTCGACATTGAATTGTCATGTGTGTGTTTCCCCTCCTGAGGTGTGATAAGCCAATGAACTGGTTCTTCCTCCAGCTGGTCCGGAGGAGTCGGATAATGGTGATAAAGAGTACGAGGAGGAACGTGTCCAGGACGGCGGAGAAGGGATGGGATGGCGGAGACGTGTCAAGCCTGGGAGGGGCAAGTCTCTTTTTCTTCCACGCCATGCAGCGCGCAGGAGGCACGAGATCACTCCGCA